CATGCTCAACGCTTAGAAATGAAAGTGTACGAGCAATTAAACAACATACTTTTTGGCAGATTCCTTGTCAAGCAATGCAACACATTTCGGCAGCTAATCAAAATGTATACATTTGTGTGCAGCAATTTCCTTCATTTTGATTTTTTAGAAAGCCAACACCTGAAAATTGGTGGGGGAAAACAAAATCTTACAGCAAGCTAGTCTCTTCCCCACTGCTCTGATATTTATTACTTTTAATGTAGCACCATTAATTGTCATTTGTTTCCATCATCTCATCTTGCCTCTGTCTTCTTTTTGACAGAGACCTGCAGGGTTAGGACTGAGCCCATGTCATTCTTTCAGGGCATTCGTATGGTGATGGGCCACGGTCCATATGCCAAGCTGGTCATGGGCTTCCTCTTCACCTCTCTGGCTTTTATGGTGAGTTCTTATGCAAATGATAAACTCATTTCATGTTGAGCCATGGTCACCACCAGCCATTTGGGTTGTCTAAGCTGTGACCGCCATGGACGAGCACTGTTGCCTTTGGCGATCGCTTTATTTGTTAGGTTTTGGTAATGTGTCCTTACTGTGCAGCTTATTATTTCTATAAACATTTCTTGCAGCTTCTGGAAGGAAACTTTGCACTGTTTTGTAGCTACACCCTTGGCTTTAGAAACGACTTCCAAAACATCCTTCTCGTCATTATGGTAAGCAAACTAAATGTCTCTTTTTTTGTTTTAAATTATAAATGTATTTTAAATGGGCTTTTTGAATACTAAAAGACTATATGACTCTGTATGGTCTGTAAAGATAGGTGAGGTTTCATTATGGAGTGATTGGCAATGACATTTTGAAAGACAAATGTACAAAAGGAAAGTACTTAATGGGTTACATAATACATTTGCATAATACATTTGGGCTGATCATCTGAACAGACTAGTGTTTCCAGAAATATATTGCACCTTATCCAACCCACAACTCACTGCTTTACCCATGAAATGCTTTAGTATCGCAGAAAAGTTGTCAATCAACAACTAGATTATTGTTTAAGGAAGACAAAGTTGTTCATCTAGTTTCAAAGAACAATTATGTCTTGTTCATGTGTTTTTGTCCTTGAGATCAGACTGTTCAAAACCCAGATTCCTTTAAGAATTCATGTTCAATAAGAGAGTATTATTGTAGTCATGTAAAACCCAGTCTGCTGACTGTTTTTCTTCAAACTACAATAACCCTTGTTCAGGGAACTATAACTGCAGATGCATGAATAGAACGTTTTCAGGCATTGTCCTAGATATGATACAAAACATTCCAGTATTGTTGTCGGGAAGGTGTGTTAGGAAGCATTCTTATTGATGGGAACGTGTGTGAACACAGACAGGTTCAATTCTTTGTCAGAAACCTAATCTTAGCTAATGCCGTTTGCACGCATTATCAGTCACGAAAACCATCTGCAGTGCAGTGCTTTTTCTGTATTACAGACAGATCTCTCTATAGGCATTGATCATCAAAAAATGTTTAATATTTGAAAAATGTTTGTCTTTCAAATCATCACCATGTAGCGTGACCAACATATAGACAAAAACGAAAACTCTTTTTAAACCTGCACACTTAGTTGTCTTTGAGCCAAACCTATTTTCATTTCCTCTATTTCAGCTCTCCGCCACGCTTGCTATCCCATTTTGGCAGTGGTTCCTCACTAAATTTGGCAAGAAGACTGCCGTGTATATTGGGACTACAGTAAGTATTGGCAGCGGCACACAACCCTTCAATTAATTCCACTAACTGACCAACAGTGGCTTCTTCTGGTCCGTCATCTACTGTAATTGAGGTTTTTGATTCCTGTTACTGATGGTTTATATTCTCTTTGCAGTCTGTGGTGCCTTTCCTGGTCTCCGTCGTCTTGGTGCCAAGCAATCTTATTGTGACATACATTGTGTCCTTTGCCGCTGGAGTCAGTGTTGCAGCGGCCTTCCTCCTGCCATGGTAAGCACCTGACAATTGTACAAATGTATATGCACTTCCAGATTTGGTGCACTTTTTTCATGGAGTGTGTTTTCCTGTATGCTCAGGTCCATGCTCCCCGACGTTGTGGATGATTTTAAAGTCCAAAATCCTGAATCTCAAGGCCATGAAGCCATCTTCTACTCCTTCTATGTGTTCTTCACCAAGTTTGCATCTGGAGTTTCCTTGGGGGTCTCAACTCTTAGTCTTGAGTAAGTTTCACGGTCTTGTACACGAAATACCGGCTCTTAAAGTTGGATTATAGTCTGCATGATCCAATAAGCCCGGCTTTTTGTTTTACTTTTACTGTATGAGAATCAGTCTGGCCTCCTGACCTTCAGATATAATGCGATTAGCGCTGCTCTTATGGGTCTTTTGGGTTTGGAGACGTGACCATGTAGGATAGTGTTTTAATGTGAAATTCAGTGATCAGTCATGAGGTTGGATTTATCTGGATGAACATTAATAACATATTAATCTCTCGCTTCTTCTCTTTCAAACAGTTTTGCTGGCTATGTGACGAGAGGTTGCACGCAACCCGCCGAAGTCGATTTAACCTTGAAGATCCTGGTATCTCCTGCTCCGATAGTCTTGATCATTATCGGGCTGCTAATATTCATCTCATATCCAATCAACGAGGAAAAGAGACAAGGCAACCGCAAACTACTTAATGAACAACGGTAAAGCCACCTATTGATTTGAACAGTCTTCCAGTCACGTTTTGCTTAAAGATGTTAAGCCTGCTCAGCATTCTTGAAATCTATAAATTAACACGGTACTTTTAAACCTCTAAAGCTGATTAAACGGCATTCTTGTAATTTCAAATAAAAATGTTTAGGCTAACTGTGTCCTGTGTGACTCTTTTTCAGAGAAAATGAGATTGACTCAGAAACAGACTCCACTGAGCTCAATGTGGTTTAAGAGCACCGGAAACCTAAACTGGACATCGTGCCATTTGTGTCACATCAACAGAGATAAAACAAACCGAGCGGATGCTTTGAACCAACCATGCTGCCTTGTGGCTGAAAACTTCCACCCATATCACCCCTACACAACCACAAATCAACTTGAAACATAGCCTTTTTCCAGCTCAATTTCAAAGTGCCTTGCCATTTCCAGTTGCAAGTGCTAATGGATGCTGAGTTGCACAAAACCGAAAGGCAGGCTTGTGTGTGTCGCCAGTATTTGTGCTGCTCGCTGGTATAGGATCTCAAAGCGGTGTCCAAAAAAGCCAGCTTTTGATAAGCACACATCTAAAGAACACTAAAAAATGAACTGAGGTGGGACATGTCTACCGTAAGATGAAACTTGAAACATTTAATAACGTTTTTAGGTGCTAAAACCAAAAATGCATTTCAATCATGATTGAAAGGTACATTTTGGGAGGAATATCTGTGAAACTGTACACAACGTGTATAATAATTGAATATAATTGAATATTTATAAATGCTTTTGTGCATCTAACTGGAAAAGCAAAATTGAGGGACCTGAGAGGAGTTTGATTACGTCAAACTTCAGTATTGCGCACAGAAGGTTATTGTTTATTTCTTCTATTACTTTCCTTCACGTACCCCTTCTATTATGTTCCTTTTCACCTGTGTCTGCTCTCTCGGGGTGTACTCTTTCAGAGGGATGCGCTGAGGGCGAAACATACTAATTTGGTCTCTTCAGATGATATGGGTACACTAAAGTGTGGCTGAAAAGTGCTGCTGACAACTGAAGCTATGAACTAGCAAGATGCCATCAGACTATGTGGGGTTAAAATGTATGATCAATTGCTTATGTTATGAGGTGAACAAGATTATTTAAGTATTTATTACTTTTGTTTTAAATCATATGTTGGTTTGATTATGTCTGTTTCTCCCATCTTAATTTATCTTGTTTGAGGGCCTCAGTCACATAAAATAAGGGCAATTAGAGCTGTCACTGCTGAATTATGTCTAATATGCCATTAATTCTTATGGAAAAGCCAATCAGTGTATTTACAGGCGACTTGCTGTTTGTTTAGGTGTTAAATTAATCTGATTTTTGGTCTGTTTGTTTCGTGTCAGTGTCCGTACAGTAGTTGTCTCAGAAGTGCTTTTATTATTGTATAGTTCTCTGCCTGTAACATCTGTGTCAAAGATCTGAATGCCAAGTGTTTCTCTACCATCTGTAAGTGCTGTGATATATGTACATAGACCATCTGAAAATATGAAGTCATATTTAAAATTTTCTGTTTGGGGAAAATGGAATGGCTTGTAAATAATATTTGTGTAAATGTCTTATGTTATACATATGTACATATGATGCGCATTGAAATATCATCAGTGCATGTTTAATACCGTGTTCTAACACGTGTCAATTTTGTATTGATGCATCTGTAACATCTGTGTGCCCCATTCTCATTAACACTGGTTTGTGGCGATCTGTTTAGTTTTCCATATTCTGATATAAAAAAAAAAATACAGATATTGTATATAACAAATGTGCTGATGTTTGTACATAGATGTTTTTTTTTTTTTTTGAATTAGCCAAAATATTTAATAAACAAACAGAAAGGGGGTGGAGAGGGGCGTGGAACGTACTGACTGAATACAAACAATTACATTCTGTGTAAATTAGTGGAATTCTGTGAGCTCTGATTCTGTTAAGGTCTGCTCTAGAAAAACTGCCAAGCGAGGCTCCACTTTTTCCATAAACCATTCAGTTCTATGACGTGTAACGCACCTGGAATGGTATTTCCTTGTACAGATGCTACAGATTAAGAGCAGACAGTGTACTTACACTTCAGCATCCTGTTGGCCACAAGGGTCACTGAACAAATACAGGAAGTTATCTCATCTCTCTAGTTATAGAAGAGAGGGAACAGAAAAGACAGGCTTGGTGCTTGACAAGGTTCAATGATATAACACCTAGTAAACTTCATCTATATGTACCTGATCCTAAACCCGTTTATCATCATGGGGAACCAGAATACCAATCTAGTTATACTTAATTTTTTACCTTTTGTACCTTTCTTCTAATCTCGTATATCTTTTCCATGCAGGATTGTGCTGTCTACCCCATTTGCCGTGCTATGCTATTTCCTCATCTGGTACGTGCCATCTGTTGAGCAAGGCAAGGTTGTTTGGTACCTGATCTTCTACTGCTCCTTCCAAACATTACAGACAGTGAGTAACCATCTTTTTATGACCACAAGTTGTAGTCTGTATTCCTAATAATTTCATTTAACCGTTGGCTTTGACTTTTTCCCAAAAAACAGTGCTTCCACGTACCGTATTCTGCACTTACCATGTTTATCAGCACTGAGCAGAAGGAGAGGGATTCGGCCACAGCCTACCGTGAGTTTCAAAGCATCTCCAGCTAGATACATCCATCCATCGTTTTCAAATTCACAGCTAACCGCTAATCTCTTATCTCAGGAATGACTGTTGAGGTTTTGGGCACGCTCATTGGCACTGCTGTTCAAGGTCAGATTGTGGGAATGGCTAACGCTCCTTGTATCAGCAGTGGCAAGGACCTGAACTCTACAGATCTGCAGGTGGCTCCCGAGGTCAACATCACTGAGCCTCATGTTTCACTGGAGCATCTGGTAAGGATGTTTTCTTTTAAGGTTGACCAAATTAAAATTCTTGCTATATTGGTATTAAATGCCTGGTATCATATGGTTCCCACAGAGAAATGCTTACATGATCGCATCTGGTGTCATCTGCTTCATTTATGTCGTCTGTGCCCTGGTCTTGTTCCTTGGTGTGAAAGAACAAAGAGGTAAGCGTTACTAATACCGCAAAGACACATTATTACAAATGAAATTTTATGTAATTAAACTTGCACTTCTGTTCAAAAATTTGGGGTCGGAGTCTATTATGCTCACCAATGCTGCATTTATTTGGTCAAAAATAAAGTAAAAATTGTAATATTGTGAAATATTATTATAATATAAAATAACTGTTTTCTATTTGAATATATTTTAAATTGTAATTTATTCCTGTGATGCAAAGCTGAATTTTCAGCATCATTAATCCAGTCTTCAGTGTCACATGATCCTTCAGAAATCTCTCTAATATGCTGATTTGATGTAGAAAACAGTTGTGCTGCTTAATATTTTGTGGAAACTGATACATTACCCTTTTTCTTTCAATTGAATAGAAAGTTCAAAAGAACCGTCTCTATATTTGAAATAGAAATCTTTTGCAACATTGTAAGTGTGTTTACTGTAACTTTTGATCAGTTTAGTTCATCCTGGCAGAATAAAAGTAATGATTTTCTTTAAAAAAAAACTCTTACTGACCCCAAACTTTTGAACGGTAGTATAGCTTCTTTCTTAAAGACCTTATGATATCATAATTTTATGCTTTTAAGCGGTTAGCTGTTAGGTCTTCTAATATGTTGGTAAAAAGATTAACCTTCTCTAGAAATACACATTTAAAATTCATGCAAGTATAAATGCTGGAAATTTAACAAAATTTTGATGACACATGCTGCACAACACTGATTTTTGTCCAATCCAATGCTCTCCAAAACAAGTCCCTACATCTGAAACTGACTAGTAAACAGCAAATCATAGTTCATGGCTGTGATGTAACTAAAGCCTATTGGCTGTCTTAAAACAGGGAAATGATCCATTCACTATCTCTCGCCCAAACGTTCTGTTTCAGTGAGAAAAGTGTGTACACTGTAAATCTCATGTGGTTGCTTGCAGATGTATCCGGGTTTTTCCACACAGCTCGGGTTTCTTTGAGTCAGTAGTTGGCCCACAAGCAGAGCTCAGCTGGCCGCAGGGAAATGCCAGTGTATAAGCTTAGCAGGGTGATTAGCTTTCACAGCACAGAGAGGGCTGTCTAAATGGGGCTCATGGTAAATGGTGTTCTCTAGAGTAGTTAATTTTGAACCCAAATATTGAGACTTAACATGCATACCTCAGTAGTCTGTTGTAAGGGAAATCAAGCACAGTACTGGCTCATCGTCACACCTCATTTGTGGATTTATCATGCTCAACGCTTAGAAATGAAAGTGTACGAGCAATTAAACAACATACTTTTTGGCAGATTCCTTGTCAAGCAATGCAACACATTTCGGCAGCTAATCAAAATGTATACATTTGTGTGCAGCAATTTCCTTCATTTTGATTTTTTAGAAAGCCAACACCTGAAAATTGGTGGGGGAAAACAAAATCTTACAGCAAGCTAGTCTCTTCCCCACTGCTCTGATATTTATTACTTTTAATGTAGCACCATTAATTGTCATTTGTTTCCATCATCTCATCTTGCCTCTGTCTTCTTTTTGACAGAGACCTGCAGGGTTAGGACTGAGCCCATGTCATTCTTTCAGGGCATTCGTATGGTGATGGGCCACGGTCCATATGCCAAGCTGGTCATGGGCTTCCTCTTCACCTCTCTGGCTTTTATGGTGAGTTCTTATGCAAATGATAAACTCATTTCATGTTGAGCCATGGTCACCACCAGCCATTTGGGTTGTCTAAGCTGTGACCGCCATGGACGAGCACTGTTGCCTTTGGCGATCGCTTTATTTGTTAGGTTTTGGTAATGTGTCCTTACTGTGCAGCTTATTATTTCTATAAACATTTCTTGCAGCTTCTGGAAGGAAACTTTGCACTGTTTTGTAGCTACACCCTTGGCTTTAGAAACGACTTCCAAAACATCCTTCTCGTCATTATGGTAAGCAAACTAAATGTCTCTTTTTTTGTTTTAAATTATAAATGTATTTTAAATGGGCTTTTTGAATACTAAAAGACTATATGACTCTGTATGGTCTGTAAAGATAGGTGAGGTTTCATTATGGAGTGATTGGCAATGACATTTTGAAAGACAAATGTACAAAAGGAAAGTACTTAATGGGTTACATAATACATTTGCATAATACATTTGGGCTGATCATCTGAACAGACTAGTGTTTCCAGAAATATATTGCACCTTATCCAACCCACAACTCACTGCTTTACCCATGAAATGCTTTAGTATCGCAGAAAAGTTGTCAATCAACAACTAGATTATTGTTTAAGGAAGACAAAGTTGTTCATCTAGTTTCAAAGAACAATTATGTCTTGTTCATGTGTTTTTGTCCTTGAGATCAGACTGTTCAAAACCCAGATTCCTTTAAGAATTCATGTTCAATAAGAGAGTATTATTGTAGTCATGTAAAACCCAGTCTGCTGACTGTTTTTCTTCAAACTACAATAACCCTTGTTCAGGGAACTATAACTGCAGATGCATGAATAGAACGTTTTCAGGCATTGTCCTAGATATGATACAAAACATTCCAGTATTGTTGTCGGGAAGGTGTGTTAGGAAGCATTCTTATTGATGGGAACGTGTGTGAACACAGACAGGTTCAATTCTTTGTCAGAAACCTAATCTTAGCTAATGCCGTTTGCACGCATTATCAGTCACGAAAACCATCTGCAGTGCAGTGCTTTTTCTGTATTACAGACAGATCTCTCTATAGGCATTGATCATCAAAAAATGTTTAATATTTGAAAAATGTTTGTCTTTCAAATCATCACCATGTAGCGTGACCAACATATAGACAAAAACGAAAACTCTTTTTAAACCTGCACACTTAGTTGTCTTTGAGCCAAACCTATTTTCATTTCCTCTATTTCAGCTCTCCGCCACGCTTGCTATCCCATTTTGGCAGTGGTTCCTCACTAAATTTGGCAAGAAGACTGCCGTGTATATTGGGACTACAGTAAGTATTGGCAGCGGCACACAACCCTTCAATTAATTCCACTAACTGACCAACAGTGGCTTCTTCTGGTCCGTCATCTACTGTAATTGAGGTTTTTGATTCCTGTTACTGATGGTTTATATTCTCTTTGCAGTCTGTGGTGCCTTTCCTGGTCTCCGTCGTCTTGGTGCCAAGCAATCTTATTGTGACATACATTGTGTCCTTTGCCGCTGGAGTCAGTGTTGCAGCGGCCTTCCTCCTGCCATGGTAAGCACCTGACAATTGTACAAATGTATATGCACTTCCAGATTTGGTGCACTTTTTTCATGGAGTGTGTTTTCCTGTATGCTCAGGTCCATGCTCCCCGACGTTGTGGATGATTTTAAAGTCCAAAATCCTGAATCTCAAGGCCATGAAGCCATCTTCTACTCCTTCTATGTGTTCTTCACCAAGTTTGCATCTGGAGTTTCCTTGGGGGTCTCAACTCTTAGTCTTGAGTAAGTTTCACGGTCTTGTACACGAAATACCGGCTCTTAAAGTTGGATTATAGTCTGCATGATCCAATAAGCCCGGCTTTTTGTTTTACTTTTACTGTATGAGAATCAGTCTGGCCTCCTGACCTTCAGATATAATGCGATTAGCGCTGCTCTTATGGGTCTTTTGGGTTTGGAGACGTGACCATGTAGGATAGTGTTTTAATGTGAAATTCAGTGATCAGTCATGAGGTTGGATTTATCTGGATGAACATTAATAACATATTAATCTCTCGCTTCTTCTCTTTCAAACAGTTTTGCTGGCTATGTGACGAGAGGTTGCACGCAACCCGCCGAAGTCGATTTAACCTTGAAGATCCTGGTATCTCCTGCTCCGATAGTCTTGATCATTATCGGGCTGCTAATATTCATCTCATATCCAATCAACGAGGAAAAGAGACAAGGCAACCGCAAACTACTTAATGAACAACGGTAAAGCCACCTATTGATTTGAACAGTCTTCCAGTCACGTTTTGCTTAAAGATGTTAAGCCTGCTCAGCATTCTTGAAATCTATAAATTAACACGGTACTTTTAAACCTCTAAAGCTGATTAAACGGCATTCTTGTAATTTCAAATAAAAATGTTTAGGCTAACTGTGTCCTGTGTGACTCTTTTTCAGAGAAAATGAGATTGACTCAGAAACAGACTCCACTGAGCTCAATGTGGTTTAAGAGCACCGGAAACCTAAACTGGACATCGTGCCATTTGTGTCACATCAACAGAGATAAAACAAACCGAGCGGATGCTTTGAACCAACCATGCTGCCTTGTGGCTGAAAACTTCCACCCATATCACCCCTACACAACCACAAATCAACTTGAAACATAGCCTTTTTCCAGCTCAATTTCAAAGTGCCTTGCCATTTCCAGTTGCAAGTGCTAATGGATGCTGAGTTGCACAAAACCGAAAGGCAGGCTTGTGTGTGTCGCCAGTATTTGTGCTGCTCGCTGGTATAGGATCTCAAAGCGGTGTCCAAAAAAGCCAGCTTTTGATAAGCACACATCTAAAGAACACTAAAAAATGAACTGAGGTGGGACATGTCTACCGTAAGATGAAACTTGAAACATTTAATAACGTTTTTAGGTGCTAAAACCAAAAATGCATTTCAATCATGATTGAAAGGTACATTTTGGGAGGAATATCTGTGAAACTGTACACAACGTGTATAATAATTGAATATAATTGAATATTTATAAATGCTTTTGTGCATCTAACTGGAAAAGCAAAATTGAGGGACCTGAGAGGAGTTTGATTACGTCAAACTTCAGTATTGCGCACAGAAGGTTATTGTTTATTTCTTCTATTACTTTCCTTCACGTACCCCTTCTATTATGTTCCTTTTCACCTGTGTCTGCTCTCTCGGGGTGTACTCTTTCAGAGGGATGCGCTGAGGGCGAAACATACTAATTTGGTCTCTTCAGATGATATGGGTACACTAAAGTGTGGCTGAAAAGTGCTGCTGACAACTGAAGCTATGAACTAGCAAGATGCCATCAGACTATGTGGGGTTAAAATGTATGATCAATTGCTTATGTTATGAGGTGAACAAGATTATTTAAGTATTTATTACTTTTGTTTTAAATCATATGTTGGTTTGATTATGTCTGTTTCTCCCATCTTAATTTATCTTGTTTGAGGGCCTCAGTCACATAAAATAAGGGCAATTAGAGCTGTCACTGCTGAATTATGTCTAATATGCCATTAATTCTTATGGAAAAGCCAATCAGTGTATTTACAGGCGACTTGCTGTTTGTTTAGGTGTTAAATTAATCTGATTTTTGGTCTGTTTGTTTCGTGTCAGTGTCCGTACAGTAGTTGTCTCAGAAGTGCTTTTATTATTGTATAGTTCTCTGCCTGTAACATCTGTGTCAAAGATCTGAATGCCAAGTGTTTCTCTACCATCTGTAAGTGCTGTGATATATGTACATAGACCATCTGAAAATATGAAGTCATATTTAAAATTTTCTGTTTGGGGAAAATGGAATGGCTTGTAAATAATATTTGTGTAAATGTCTTATGTTATACATATGTACATATGATGCGCATTGAAATATCATCAGTGCATGTTTAATACCGTGTTCTAACACGTGTCAATTTTGTATTGATGCATCTGTAACATCTGTGTGCCCCATTCTCATTAACACTGGTTTGTGGCGATCTGTTTAGTTTTCCATATTCTGATATAAAAAAAAAAATACAGATATTGTATATAACAAATGTGCTGATGTTTGTACATAGATGTTTTTTTTTTTTTTTGGATGGAATTGTTCTAAGTGAAAATGTGTGTAGTTATTGAAAAGAAACGATGTTACAAAAATGTTTGTTAATAAATTCTAATTAATATTCAAGGATCATCATTTGCTCCCCCCCCCTCTACACACCTAGCATCTTATATAATAAAATATGAAAACATTAAAAAAAATTTTTTTTAATAATATTTATATAAAATTATCTATCTATCTATCTATCTATCTATCCAGAGAAAGAGAGCTTGCATCCTTTATTTCTTCATTTATTTATTTTTATTTTTATTTTGGACAATAACAAGTGTTACTTACATTTTTAACAAATCCTACGAAATCGAAATTCCTTTTCACTGTGGTTTTCTTCAGTGTCATTATTTCATTATAAAATATTATCAGTATAAGTTTTAAAACACAATATAGACTGCGGTAGCTATTAGTTTTCATGAAAACAAACAAAAAAAATCTTACAAGTGTTAGTCATAGCTGGACGATTGATTGTTCAGAGCTGATGCAACACTATCATTACAAAGCAAAATATTTTAAAAATAGGTTAATAATACACATTTATATATATATATATATATATATATATATATTTCACTGATATATCAAAATATTTTTTTAAACTCGTGTATATAAATTTAAAAAACTAACTTTCATTCCAATATGTATCTTTTATGCTTTTATTATGAAATACGTGATGAAATCTTTCAACCGGAAGAGCCTGTCACCGGCACATACGTTTCTCAGCTCCACCGGTGAGATTTAATATACATTTTTATTATATTACTGAGCTTTCGTCATCTATTATCACTGACATTTTAAAAAGATAGTATTACATTTTATACCGACCTAGTGCCTGTTTTGAAGTGTTTCGATCACTCTTAGGTTAAGAGAGCTCATTCTCAGCGGTTCATTCAAAGCGGAAGTCATTTTAACCAATGGCTGAATAAATGATCCTAAAAATAACGGTGTTGACATATGGCCACAAATTGAGTTTATCTTCGTTATTTGTCATATAAGCCTGTAATTACTTAATTCGCACAGAAGCAGCAGACATCATGGGAGATCAGCGGAGTCCTGATGAGAAGTTCCAGCTAATCACCAGGAACCTTCAGGTGAGAAACAGCAGGGAAGGATATTAAGAGATTCCAAAATAACTTGTAACAGCTCAAAAACATATTTAACATTTAAATATACAGAAGTATGCCTGTTATTGTTTTGAAGATCTTCATTTAAAATTATTTATGTTATTATGTTTGCATGCACCGTCAATGAGGTGTCTGTTCTGTCAGTTTCAGTAGACTGTTTCTGCCACGGTTGTGTTCTCAGGAGGTTCTTGGTGAGGAGAGGTTGAAGGAGATCCTGAAGGAGAGGGAGCTGAAGGTCTACTGGGGAACAGCAACCACAGGCAAACCCCATGTGGCCTACTTTGTCCCCATGTCAAAGATCGCTGACTTCCTGAAAGCAGGCTGCGAGGTTTGTCTGTGGTGTTCTGCATTGCTTCTGATTTAAAGATATGCACTTGTTTGGACAGTGGATCAGGGCATTGGTGTGTGTAACTATTTGTGTTTCTGTTCTGTAGGTGACCATCCTCTTTGCTGATCTCCATGCCTATCTGGACAACATGAAGGCTCCCTGGGAGCTGCTGGAGCTCAGGGTGCAGTATTATGAGCAGATCATTAAGGCCATGTTGGAGAGCATTGGAGTTCCCCTTGACAAACTCAGATTTGTCAAAGGCACAGACTATCAGCTCAGCAGGTAGCTACTCTTGTTTATTTAAACGCTGTTGTTATGAATTTCAAACAATTACAATGGATGATAATTGACCAAAGAGCATGGTTTTTAGGAAGTGTTAGTCATTGTTCTGGGAAACAGATTGAATTAGATATTAGATTAGATATTTTTATTTGACATTTTACCATTAATAAAAAGATGTTTGCAGTTTTTGTACTTTAATAAGAAGAAGGCAACTGTTTTGTGTGGTTGATCTATTATAGAGAGTACACTCTGGATGTTTACCGACTGTCATCCATGGTAACTGAACATGATGCCAAGAAAGCAGGTGCTGAGGTGGTCAAACAGGTTGAGCATCCTCTTCTGAGTGGCCTGCTGTATCCTGGACTACAGGTATGCAGATCATCTTCTGCTAGCATTATCCTCATAGTTGTGGTTTTCTAGTCTGTATGTATTTGTTTTACTTAATCATTTGAACATGGAGTCTATTTTCAAAACCTGCTTATTTTTTCTTATCGGTGCAAATGCCAGTATACAACCGATTAAAAAGATGTTGCTTATGTATTTCTACACTACTGTTATTTATTTATTTGGAAAGAAATTAATACTTTCAGTAAGGGTGCTTTGAATTGATCAAAAGTGACAGTAAAGACATTTACATCATTAGAAAAATATTTGTACACATTTTTTTCTTTTAAACTTAATATTCTTCCACAAAAATATTAAACAGCAGAACTGTTTCCAACATGTTTTTCATTTCTATCAGGCACTGGATGAGGAGTACTTAAAAGTAGATGCTCAGTTCGGGGGTGTGGACCAAAGAAAGATCTTCACATTAGCAGAGAAGGTACTTTTTTTTGTTGTGGTGTTCATTCACATTGTTTCTAGATTATTGTCTAGAGTGAACACATGCATTTTAATTAATTGCTAAAAGCTTCATTGGCCAAAAAAAAGAAAAAAAAGTTTTTTTGATCCTGACACAAAATGACCAGCTAACATTAATTGACTAATCATATCAGCAGCACATGTGAAAGTGTGAATGAGTACTAGTCAGGTGAAATCACTATCATACTAATTAGATTGTAAGAGCAGACTGATTGCTATAAAAGGAGAGACGAAGTGCTTTCAATCATTGTGTTCTTGTTAGCAATGGTTCCCTCCAAAGAAACACGTGCAGCCATCATCGCTTTGCATCAAAATGGCCTCACATGCAAGGAAATCGCTACAAAGAATATTGCCCCTGAAATAAAAATACACCATGCTATAGGCCTAATATAAAATAAATAACTTACACAAAGTTTAAAATGTGTGTGTATATGTGTGTATATATATATATATATATATATATATATATAAAAATAAGAAACGTTTATTAGCAAAATGAATAAGAAAGCTTGGAGGCACGGCATACACCTTGATGTAAAATAAATAAATTACACAAAGTTTAAATACATTAAAAATCATCAAACACAACCAAATAAATAAGAAACAAATGTTTTAAAAAAAAACTTACAAAATCACCTTAGATATACGGCAAAAGTCAACATAGCCTTTTCAAAATACAAAATATTGCCAAACAGGCGCTTTTGCATTTCGTTTCGAAAGTAAATCTTAAACTTTAATTGTAGTGTCTGTTCTCTAACTGAACTAAATGAGTTTTATTACTATAAAAACCGGTAACACTGACTATCGCAGCAAGCCTACTGGCAAGGAGTGGACAGAATAATGTGTGAATCAAGCTTTCTCCCATGATATCGTACTGATTTGATGACTGTGTGCTGATCTCAGTGAATATGTGTGTGGGTGTTTGCTGGATACATTTAGTTTTTTTACAACTATTGTTTTTTTTCTTATTTTTGCAGCAAACTTTGCAAAACACAATTTATGTCACTGCCAAAACTTTTGGCCACGACTGTACTGTGAATAAGGCACAAAAGATGCTTCTCAAAAATATTTGATTTAATATTTTTTTTTCTTCTTTTGCATCTTTTGATTTAGTTTGCCAGTAGTAAATACAAAAAACTTGATTATTATATTTGTAGAAATATGTTTGAAAATCTAAAGCTGGTATTTCCTACTCATACACCAAAGCAAAATATATAAATAAGTCTTAAAACAAATCTTTCTTGATGCATCGGATATGTCTGGCAAGTAGGGTTGTGACGGTGTGGAAATTCTCCCACCAGTTAATCGACATGTGACAACACCGGTAATACCGATATCACCGGGAGGTGGGGTTCATTGGGGTTTTCCCTATTTTTCTCCCTTTCCTTCGCTTTTAAATAGCTTATAAAGGCCGTGCACATTTTACTTTCAATTAGCGTCAATTCGGGATCAATTGCTTGAATGGACAACAACAAAATGGTATAACAACTCACTTATATTAAACACAGAACTTATCCACATGATGAACCCAATGGTGCCTGGACTGACGGGGGGCAAGATGAGCTCCTCTGAGGAGGTACGGTAGCATCTACACCTTCACAGATTTCAAGAAAGCTGTAAGATAAAGATTTACAATCACATTCTTTGATTTATGTAATCAAAGAATCCTATTGATTTGATGGGATGGGATAGAGGCTTATGAATGAGAAGCGTTTCTAAACCTGTTGTCCAAAAAAAGAGAACATGTTATTACTCCATAAAATCAGTCGAATGTTTAAAATTACCTCCTTTCGTGATCTGATGTGGCTTCTTATCACAGAATGAGGCAGAAAATATATTCTATACTGTTAAAAGAGGCTATGTCGATTTGTAATGGATTATAAATATACGTAATTATTATGAAAATACCCAAGATGGCTTGAAGAACACAGATAAACTATACGAGTGTTTATTGTCTTCAAGTTTCATCATTCAAAATGTTTCTATCTTTTAATGCAGTCACAGCGATAGCTGGATGCTTTTATCCATATAAGGGATTTCCTGGAGTGTCATCAGTTCTATTACTTCTGTGATGCACATGTGGAGTTTCTGGCCCTCTGGCGTCCAGTATGAATGAAACAAACATTACATGTGCTTATAGCGCCCAATAATGGCCAATCCATAAAAATAAAAAATTTGAAGTAGACAAATGATAATCCACGTTTTTCTACAGTGTACAGAAGTGTACTGGAGTTTTAATGAACATGTACTGGAGGTTTTTTTAAATGGCATTTTAAATCCGAAATCGCAAAAAAAAAAGAAAATACATATATAATACTCTGACGTGCCGAGCCATCCGAACTTAACCGAAAACCACGGTTTAAGGTGTGTGTGACCTAGTGCAGACCTGCTAACCTCAAATATTTAACATTAAATCTTGCATTTTGCACATTGTGCAATTATGATTTTGACATTAGCCATCAAAGAGCTTCAGTTAATAATGTACCTATCTAGGAATATATGAACCCCCTCCACCCAAACCTGTGTCCCGTCCCATCACACTGATGGTACTCACAAGTTTTTTCCAAGGTTGGCAGGTCTGTGCTGTTATATTCCAGGTGTTGGGTTAATATTACTAAGATTCATCATTCTTAAACTTTCATATCTGTTACAGGAATCCAAGATTGACCTGCTGGATAAGAACCAAGAGGTGAAGAAGAAGTTAAAGAAAGCCTTCTGTGAGCCTGGAAATGTGGAGAATAATGGAGTTCTGTCCTTTGTTAAACATGTGCTTTTCCCTTTGCACTCAGGTGAGCTCAGGCAAATTAGGAAAATTCGGAAATGTAAACATCTAGTTAAGTGCTTAATGTTGTGTTATGTTTTCAGAGTTTATTATTAAAAGAGATCCAAGGTGGGGAGGTGACAAAGTCTACACAGACTATGAGGAAGTGGAGAGGGACTTTGCTGCAGAGGTATCTAAACAGTACTTATATTTACTTAATGTACGAATGACATATGTTTACATAAATTGAGTTGAGCATCATATGTTGACCCCTCATTGCTTACCTGCAGCAAATCCATCCTGGTGACCTGAAGGCTTCAGTAGAGTTGGCTCTTAACAAACTGTTGGACCCCATTAGGAAGAAGTTTGAGATGCCAGCGTTGAAGAAACTGACAGCATCAGCTTACCCAGAGCCCTCTAAAAACAGTGAGCGAAAATACACAATGCCTAAAAACATTTTGGACATAATCACTTACACTTATGAACCCATTTAACAGTGCTTCTTCAAGTTCTAGATTGAGTTTTAGAGAAAGGAAGAACTTGCACATCCATTTTCACACAGTTTAAATTGTCATTGCTTCACAGAAGGAGGAGCGAAGGGCAATCCTAAACAAACCGCAGATGAGGAGGAGGTCATCCCATCCAGATTGGACATCAGAGTGGGCAAAGTCATCAGTGTAGAAAAGGTAGAGAAAGCCAACAATAATTTTACAATTCATTTTACTAGTAAGTGGCTGTTTAAATAACTCTGTTTCCTGACCTATTAGCATCCAGATGCAGACTCACTATATTTAGAGAAGATTGATGTGGGCGAGGAACAGCCGCGGACTGTAGTGAGTGGACTGGTGGCCTACCTCTCCCAGGAGCAGCTTCAGGACCGTCTTGTGGTGTTGCTATGCAACCTAAAGCCCCAGAAGATGAGGGGGATTGAATCCCAAGCCATGCTGCTCTGTGCTTCAATGTTAGTAGGACTGATAAACCCTATTTCAACCATTTCATTTAATCAGCTAAGTTCTTCTTATAGTAAAAATCATCTTGATTTTTGATCTTTCTGAATGTGATGGCCTTTAGTGAGGAAGAGCCCAGGAAAGTGGAGCCTTTGGATCCACCAGAAGGATCAGCACCAGGAGACCGTGTTTATGTAGAAGGGTATGAATCAGGCAAACCAGATGATGAATTGAAACCAAAGAAAAAAGTGTTTGAGAAGTTGCAGGTATGTGAGGTTTATATTTTTGTACTTAAACATTCATGTTTGAGTCTCATTCTTGGTTGTATGTTTATTTGTCTGATCTCTTCAGGTGGATCTGAAGATCTCAGACGAGTGTTTTGCACAATGGAAAGAGCAAAATCTGATGACCAAACTTGGACAGATCACCTGTAAAACACTGAAGGGTGGAAATATTTGCTAGTTGTCTTCACAATTCCTCTCAAAATCTTCAAAGCTAGAGTTTCCATGACAGCCCAGTATCCCTGTGACATGTACACAGTGTCAGGTATTGCTCATCATTGCCATCCAAAACTGTTAACTGACTCTAATGGAGAAGCAAATGGCTTATAATGACATTATTTAAATGCAACTGTTCCATTCAGCCATATCAACCTGTGAATAATCTAATAGCATATGATTACTGCAGCAGAATACATATGGGTATCGTCTGTGCTTTACATTGCATGTATTGCCGTCCAGGATGTTTTACACAAAGTACTGCAGTAAATAATGCAATGCTCATTTGTTTGAATGACAAATGAAGACTTTTGCAAGAGTTCATCTGTTATCCTCAAACTCAGGTCCTCCTGTAGTGCCATGTCTGGAAATAGGTCATTGCTTACAATGATCAGTCTCCAGTTTGACAATGTTCTAACTATTTAACCATTAGTGGAAACGGTTCAGATATATATACACAATAAACTGTTATGTATACATATTTTATGATTAGTTAGCTTACTTCACAGGAAAACATATGAAATTTCATGTAATATAACATCCAGAACTCATCTGATGTTAACCAAATTCATTGAAATAAACAACGATTCATAACCATTTCCTATATGTCTTAATGGAAATAATGATGGAAATGTCTCTGAAAGTACCTTTACAGCTTGATCTGCTGAAAAGAAATATTGAAATATATGAAACTGACAATACAAGTTTGGGAGCCTATTTTCATACCTCACCATATAAGCAATTAAATTTAATGCTTGATTGAAGATTGTGGAAATTATAATTCACTTATGAAAAAAAAGTGGTGTAGTAGCTTACCAGATAACAAGAAGAGGATTTCCATCCATCAAAAACAAAATATATTGTGGTTTGGGGGGCTTATATATGATGTTATGTTTGTATGGCTGTCAGTGATGTTGAAAAGCACCAGGAATTTAAAAACAGTAAAAAAAAAATAAAAAAAAAAGGAAAATCTATAATTATCTTTTAATGCATATTTATTTTTTAAACAGTGTAGTAATTCTCTTCACTCCTACCTTGAAGTAAATAGCTACTAAAGTATTTGTGTATGTATACTTTTACATCAATTTTAGAAGGAACATCAGTAATACTCTTACCTGTTTGCTGGTTTGAAAATAAATGCCGCATTTAGCTTACAAAGTGCTTTAATCTAATGAAAAGTAAATATGTAAATGTTTTGTGTGTATATGTTTCAGCCATGGTCAGCATACTGCAACATTCATAAAGGTGCAGGTGGTTCTATACATCTATACATATTTGCTGAAAGCAAATCTGAAGGTTGACTGCAGTAGCACTAAAACTTTCAAAACTGTTAGTAGAATCAACTTCGTTCATTAAAAGCTAGTAATCAATCTATGTGCTTGGACATATTTGGATATGTCAAAAAAATTATAACAGGTTTTTACTTTTTTATGCCAAGCAGTGATTACTACCACTAGTGACCACTAGATGTCAGTTCAATCTTGCAGTCGTTAGCTTTTTTAAGTCCACAATAAAGTAAAAGTGACTTTTCCCAAAGCAGACAAACTCATGTAGAAAAATACTTGAAGCTGTAATAAAGCTATTGTATAAAACAGATTGGGAAAAAGCTTTTTGCATACATTTGAAGGCCATTTCTCCAGGCTAAGGCTTTTAAGTATCCATGGTATTTTTAGGTATCCATGGATCCTTGAACAAGATCCATCTTGGGCTTTCATCACTTGCTTTGTCCTCTTGTCTTTGCCATACTGTGACTAAACAGTCTAATCAAAACTCAACTCATGTGTCCTGACTCTTCAACGTGCAGTCTCTGTACTTCCTGAAAAAGAAATATAATCATCATTTACATGGTTTCATCTTAATTTAATGCACAAACTAAAATAACCTGTGAATACTTTCTTACTTACTTGCTTCTGGTTTCCTGATGATTGTGCTCGCTGACCAGCAGGATGCACTTGATCACTTTGCCCATTAACTTCAACCTTCATTATTTGTTTATTTGTCAAGATCTCAGTCTTATCCGGTGTTGCATTCTCTGTCTTGTTGGGAGGATTTGTTCCATGCACTGGTTTCTTAGCAACAGGTGGCGGCACCTTAATTGGCTTTTTTGTCCCATTTGTAACCATTGTCTTGGCTTGGTCGGAAATCTGCATTATCTCAGCTGCAAGACTTTGTTTGAGGCTTGCTTGGACCTCAGGAGAAGTAGGTGTTTCAATGACAACTTTCTTTGTGCTTTTGGAGAAGATAAAGCTGGCTGTAGATGCAGGGGACTTATGCAAGTCACAGCCATCTGGTGTTTTAGGGGATGGCACAGGTGAACTAGTACCACTAGTTGAGGTTAAGCGTAGATTAAGCATTGCAGGTACTCCACTAGAGGACATTGCAGCGGTCTTCATACGAATGGCCTCTTGAAGACACATGGATGGGACTGTGGGTGGAGCAGGAGTTGACTTAGCAGGTGAGTTAGACTTCAAGGACAAGGATTTGCGAATAGGCTTTTGTGGAGTTGCTTGACTAGTAATACTGTGATCCTCATTTGTTGTGGACTCAGTACTTGGTTTGCTATCATTGTTAGCTTGATCTTCACCTACAGTTACAGATCTTAGTCGCACCATCTGAAGTAAGGAAGGTGTGACAAGGGGAATGTTGGCATCCTCCTTTGGAATAGGTGTGCTTTTGTGACGACACAGCAGTTCTTTGCTCCGGTTGTCTTTGTTTATGAGGCTCAGGTGCCTTCGGAAGTTAACAGTGGATTGGTCTTCCACTGGAAGAGGAGGTGCAAGTGGCACGTTAGTGGAATCTGCTTCGGTATCAAGTGATGTTAGATCTGATGAATCTTGTGCTGGCATTTCCTCCCCTTGTACAAGTTCATCTGGTAAAAGAGAGGACATTTTAGGAGGGGCTACAGTTGTGTTTTCCATGCCATCTTCGTCCACAGAGAAGTGTGACATGTTGTTACAAGGCTTACCTTGTTGCCTGTCCTCCATATCATTTTGTACAGTTCTTGTTGGCAGAATGGTATGTATTTCAGAGTCTTGGTCTGAACTGCTGGCCATATCTGAGGCATTAGATGACCTCAATTCTATATTGTCTGGCTGTCCACATGATTCGTCATGGCAATTGACAGATATCTCTGAAAGGGGTTCATGGATGAACGAGGGAGGTGGTGGGGGGAAGTCACGTTCAGCTTGTTCCTCAAACATCAAGTCAGTTGACTCTTCCACTGGTGGAGGTGGTGGAGGCCAAGAAGACTCCAGGAGAGTCACCTGTTCCTCTGTTTCTTGTTTCTCTTCATCTTCATCAGATGGTGGTATAGACACTGAGGAGCCTGACATCTTTTTAGTAGGTGGTGGTGGAGGGTGGTGTTCTGGAGGTGGAGAAGGAGGAGGAGAAATGCCATTGGCCTCAGGTACTTCTATACCGAGAGTTTGCAATTGTTTGCGATTGAGAATGTCTTTAACAATCCAGTTTCCTTTGTTCTCCTCACTGTTTTCATCATTCCGTAGGGTGCATGTTGTGCTCACTATTTCAGGATTTGGTTTGACTTCACAGTTTGTTTGTGACAGCATACTTTGATCAACTTTGATAGTTGGTACCTTCGTTGCAGGGAGTATTATTTGGCTTCCTTTTTCCTTTTGATCCTCTACAGTTCTCTGATCTTGTGTATGAATGTTCTGGTTGACCTCCTTAAGGAATTTTGTACTTTCTAGTTCATTTAAGTCATTGTGTAATGTTGAGCTTTCATTTTGCCTCAAATCTGGAGGGTCTACTATCATTTGTTCATGCACTTGTGGTGACATGGGCTCATTTTGTTCTTTTACAGCTTCTTTGTTCTCCAGTTGGGTCCCTGACTTTACTTTTTCTGTTGTCAGCATCTTTGGGATAATTTGTTCAGTGATTTGTATTGAATTTGTGTTTTGATTTTTACCTATTAATGACCCTTTTTGCTGTTTTTGAAGCTGATGTAACCTATGGGGGTTTGGACCTAGGCCACATAATAGTTCATGTGTGCATTTATTGTGAATCCAGGTTTCAGGGGGTGGGGGAGATGGGGCTTTTACCTTGGGTGGAGGGGGAACGTTGAACAGTTCCCTAAGGGCAATAGTTGGGTGTGTTGGTGTCACCTTGTTTTTCACTGTTGTAACCGGTGGGGAGCACTTTAATAGCTCCGACGGAGTGTTGTTGGTTTGAATGTCATGATGTGCTATGTCTGATGTGACAGAAGATAGAGATGTCATTGATGAAGAGACTGAAACCACCGGCGAGGTCTTTACACCTGTTCTCTCAGGATTTGAAGGCTTTACTTTTCTCTTTCCAGGTGAGGAGGGACTGACCTCTTTAGGGGAATGCGTAGGTGTCCCACTTTGGCTTGAGTATCCACTCGAAGGAGACAAAGTCCTATCAAATTTGTTTTCACCAGATTCTTCTCCAGTTTTCTGTGGGGATGAGTTACCTGATCTGACATGACTTCCAGTAAAAGCTTTATCAGGACTAAGCGGACTGGATTTCACAGTTGACTGGAAATCTCTTGATGAGTTAAGCATTGAAGAATGGACAGAACCCTTCTTGTTATTGATGGACTGATGGTATTTTGCACTGCTAAGATCTCTACCAGTTTGCCCATCATTTGGTGCCATATGTTTGAGATCTTTTATGTCTACCAGTTCCCTTGATCTCCACTTAAGTTTTTCATGGTGAAGGGAATAGGTTCTCTGGGGTGGTGCTGGTGGTAATTTTGTCTTCATTACAGAGAGATTACGAGAGAATGAATGGCTGTTTCTGACAATTTCCCCTACTTCACCGATATCCCTGTGGTCCAGTCTGTGGTTTGTACTGTTACTGTTAGAGCTTTTACAACTGCTTGAACTTGTATCACTTATGTCCTTTGGGATTAAATCTGAAACTTCTTTGGTGCTGTCAGCAACAAATGTTTGTAGGCACTTTGCTTTTGAAGAGATTGTGGAGGAGTTGGAGACAATAGTCTCAGATGATTGTGAATGGCTCCTGCTGGGGCTAGTGGTAGTTGGATCTTGATTTGTGCCACCTCCAGATCGTGAAGAAGCTGGACTAGCTGATGCTAAACTACTCTTGCTAACTGTATTTGTACTGCGCCGGCTGTGATCATGATTAATTTCAATTATGTCTATTGCAGCAGGCAGAATCGCGTTTGGAATAATCTTAGATAAATAAGTTGCCTGTGGTGAAATGGACATAACGGGACCTTGAGGCTCATGCAGGAAAGAGGAAGTGGTCATCCCTGGCACAGCAAGAGACTTTGGCCTCTGTGTAGGGCATGCTCCTATCCCAAGCTTTCGGTTTAACTCATCTTGGTAAACAGAATGAATGTGGTTTATTAGAATCTCCTCATCTCTTGATGTCTGAAGAACTACAATGTTCTGCAGGTGTACACGAGCCCCTTCGTAATTTACTGAAGGGAGCTCTCCATCAATTGTTGGGATGACAACTCTGCCAGAGGAATCAACTTCACCATCATGTTCTTCATCTGGACGCTGCTGCAGTAGAGTTCCTCTTGTCATTTCTTCAATAGAAATAAAACAAAGTAATGTCATTCTTCTGTTTTAGGCGGAACAGTTTGTGTAATCTCATATATTGATCAAAGTTGCTGTTTTAAGGTGTCATGCTAAAAAAATATATTTTCTTAATATTTGACAATAACAGTTTTACATGCCTAGTTCTCTTTGGACTTGTTGTGGTATGCCCATTATAGTTGTTCTTCTACTTATCCTCTTGGTCTTGTCCAGTTGTTTAACTGGGTTCAAGGGCTTAAATGTGGAACCTAAAGGGAATGATACAACATAACAGAGATTGAATACCAAGGAAAAATATATCATACAGTTTTCTTAAGTTGTTTTGTTATTCCAAATTAAATCTCAGGTCATACTCAAATTGATGGCTACACTACATTAACAAACAAGTTTTTTTTT